TGCTTATCAATGAGGATTTAGTGGTTCTACTGCTAGAAGAAAGAACAGAAGAAACGAACTTTAATTATTGACAGAGTGCGCACACGTTTGACTAAATTATTGTTCAACTTTTGTGCAATAGGGAATATGCATGTATTTTTTTAAACGATTCTACTCGTTATAAAAAAACTAGAAAAAGAAATGGTCGCGAAAATATTCAACCATTGAGCTAAAAATAATAAAATACAATTACGACCATTTTCGAGGAATGTTTTTATCTTCGCAGGAATGTTTTTATAGTAATCTTACTAACATTATAAATGCGAAAGTTTAGATGGATGGATGTTTGTTAGCGTTTGTAGCCTAAACGGCTGAACGGATCTCCTTGAAATTTGGCACAGGTTTAGAGCATAGTCTGGAAGAACACATAGGCTATCCCGGGAATAGTTACGGTTCCTGTGGGGTTTCATTAATTTAGTTTTTTGATGTTCACTCGATCATTCTGTTCAACATATCTTATTGAAATTAGGCACAGATATAAAACAAAGTCTGGAGTACACATGAGATAAGCTTCATCCCAGAGAAAAGTCCGGTTCCCGAGGGATACGTAGCTTTTTGTAATTTATCTACTTCGTATGTTTTCTAATACCACGCGGACGAAGTCGCGGGCATCAGCTCGTTAAGTATACTTAAAAAAAGTTTGATACAATTTGACGTCATATGCATATTGCCTATTGTCGATTGTTTTGCAGCCAATTCAACTGTTTAGCTCAACTAAAAATCGTGCAGTATGTGCTCCTTAATACAAGCTCATAGGAATCAAAGTGCGACTAAACAGTTGTACAATAGTCGTGTGTACAACTAAACAGTGTACAATAGTCAATACAATAGTCAATGTCGAAGTTGTGCGCGCACTCTCATTGTGTAGCTCCACGACTCATGTTCCAAAATATTACCATCTCTTTCATTCTTTTTGAGTTTGTGACAGAGTTCGAATATATGTGTGATGTCATTTGAAATTGTGCGTGTACAAAAACATCGTCATCTTTTTCATCCTCTTTGAAAGAAAAGAGACAATACATTCCTGTACTAACTGTTTGAAAAACTCAAGTTTATATACGACTAGCTTTTACCCGCGAATCCGTCCACTTGGAATTAAAAGAGAGTACGAAAGAATGGGATATATTACTCACTGATAACGTAGCGTTTTAATAGTGATTTTTTTTATAATTTCTTTCCCCTTTATAATATTAGTATTGGACTAGCTTTTGTTTGCCACTTCATCGGCATGGAATTAAAAAAAAACAGTAAGTAGTCTAAGTGTTTTTCCAGACTATATTTACTATCTGTGCCTTCATCGATATCTGTAAGTTGTTGGAGATACAAACATCCATCAATACAAACTTTTTCATTAATATTAGTACGATAAAGGCATGGTTTAAGGATATAGTAGGCTACAAGAAATTGTATATAATTTACTTTGTTAATAAATGTAATATTTATCTCATTGCCAGCCGATAAAGGGTCATTACCGTTGTATAAATATTTACAAAGTTTATACTTGATGGTACTATAAATAACTCTAAAACTAAATCTAACCGTAGAATTTTACTGCAGTATTTGTATTACCTAATGGCATCCCTTACATTCTCTTTGACAAAACAGAGAGAGCAACATAACTCTAGTTTCACGGCATAAGTCTACAAGGATCTTATGCCTTTTTTGACATGTAGAGGGCGCCTGTTACTTTTAGAGTTACCAGAAAGAAAAAATGCCTAATTTCTTTCGAATTTCAAAAGTTGAAAACAAAATTAAACTGCTGTTTTTAAAAATCGAATTTCGAAATTAGAATTCACCCGTGCAATGGCGCTCGCTGATTGGTTTAAATACGCATTCGAGATGACATTGTTAGCTTGCTAAATTGCCAACTGCCATATGATCCTTGTTAATAAACCATATTGTCATGTAGACTATAGAAAATGGTATAAAAATGTCACAGCTTCTGTACGATAAGACTATTTTAACATCTTTTTAAATATTAGACTACATGTGGCAGAAATGTAAGTGTTTAGATGGATGTGTAGGTAATACGCATGGATAAGACACGAAATGAGTATATTAGTGGAAGTTTCAGAGTAGCCCCAGTGGTAAAGGTAAGGAGTAAAAGGTTAGCATGGTATCATGTTATGAGGAGGGATGAATCGCATGTTACAAGGAGAACGTTAGTTATGAGTGTGGAGGCGTACTCCAGTAGAGGTACACCTAGAAAGAGATGGATCGATTGCGTGAAAGGTGACATGATCAAGAAGGGAGTGATGACTGAGATGACGTATGATAAAGTTATGTGGAGGACAAAAACCTGTTGCGCTGCTACAGGAGTAAGGTAAGAGAGGAAGATGATGATTGATAGGAGGCTAGGAAGCTACCATAATTTAATTTGAATTTTGACCCGGATCAGATAACTTGATAAGTACTGTAACTATGAATATTGAAGGTTTTTTATGTTTTTACGTGTGGTTATGACGCATTTTTTAAAAGGGGTGATTATATATGCAACATTATTATCTCCGTGTCCTTATTCTAGTATGTGGGGTCGCCATATTGTCAACAACGAAAATAAATCATTTTAAATTGAGGATGTGTATAGGTTATTGTCGAGTGCAATTTTTCAATAATCTATGCAGCTAAACAGATGCATTCAGACGTACAAATTGACACCGAAGGGTGTCATTTAATACTGGCCCCTAGCCTATTACTGTATTGACATCAATTGCATAATGAATTGAGAAATTGCATTCAATACCACGTACCGATATTCTCAACATTAAATTGCTTCAAATTTCATAACAATGAATATCCGTTGCATAGACAATTTTACAACGAAGCGACCAGATAACACGACGTGCGAAGTGTGACAACGCGGTATCAATTTATATGGACACTAAAAGCGCGGGAGGTCAAGTTACAATTGTCACGTAGCCCGTATAGACCACTTAACTCAATAAAACTCCCCTACCCATTAAATTTAATAGTCTATGAAAAGAGAAGTCGCGCGCGCGGCAAAATGCTTCTTCCTGTGAGCTAACGGAAGACGCCGATTGGCTCAATTGCGAGTCTCATTCACCAATCATCTCTCAGAACTCCCCATTTGAACAACCTACTGTGAATAATTCGGTTGTTCGATTTTTAAATCTAGACAGTCGTTTTTTTATTTTATTTAAAGCCACTACATACGTTTAGTTCTGACAGTTTTAACTCAACTGAATGGTCATACAAAATGTTCATTTGAAACTATAAATTAGGATTAAGGATCTGCAGCTACTTTAAAAACTTTTTTTTTTATGAAACAATTCAAATAGCATCAAACTCTTTTCCTAACGCAAATATAACATGAATTTATTTACCTCTTATTTCAAGCACTGGGTGGAATAAAGATACAATTGTCAAATCACAATCAATGTTCCAATTATCTGCAAATGTTTTGAATAAGACTAACGACTTTTAAGTATTATGAACATTTTTGTTTTCAAATAAAAACATTGCTGTTTAGAAATGTGCAGGCGCTTTCAACAACATGTTAACTTGATTTGAGCTCTTAATTTCTTTTAATTTCATAGCTTTTTGTAATCACATACCTACTAATTTTCTGTACATATTTAAATTTTTCCATTCACATCTGCAAAGTACATTCAGGGGTAAGCATATTCAGGGGAAATTAATGTTTGTTTTTTTTTTTGGTGTTTCCCATTGGGTCGATTGGCCTAATCGATTTCAAGTGTCCATGTGCCTACTGATCAATATATCAATGTAATACTATAAGATAATTTCATTCCCATTAGGTGTATAGTTTAGTCAACCGTGTCTGCGCTAATGAAATATAAACACACATTTTTTAATCATTGCATTTATTAATAAATTGTTACAAGCAATAAATTTGTACACAATTTGCGCCCAAAATGGGACTAGTTTGTCCTATAAAGATGTATTTGATATTTATAATTACATATATAACACTTGTTTAACCATAAAAGACATTTAAAATATATATAGACTAGGCATAACGAACAAAATCTTCGCCGGTACTTTCTCTGAAAGGTACTAAATCAGTTGTCAAGTTTAGTGCAAACTCGTGTTGTATTGACATGTAATGAAACATTATACTATAGTTTGTTTAAATAAGATAGATTAGTTTGATAAATGACGCATATGAAGTATCGAATTCAATTTGTATGAAGGCAAATACTGTACTTAATAGACAGGTATCGTAGTGACGAAACAAACACACAGGGAACAATTATGAACTATCGATATTCGGTTTAAATAATTATCGAACTTAACTAAAATAATTTGCTTATTAACTAATTTAGAGGACAATTCTAGTATTGATTATAGTGTAGAGAATTTAGCGATGACAAAATAATAGCGAACTCCAATTCGATTACGTACGGCTGTAGTAGTAATAAACATTTATTTACTCTCATTATTTGTTATGGTCATTATTAATTTTAAAAAACAGTGTTTTTTTTAATCCATAAGTTATAACTATAAATCTATCGATTCCAACTTCTATAAGAATAAAAATCGAAAATCGATAAGATTCATGACTGATTTTACACAACCATCCCTACTAAATTTGAAATGAATTGTCAAACTAATCTAACTTATTTAGACACACTATAAATTATAATAAGCTCCATCTTTTGTTACAAAAAAAAAACTAAACTGTCACAAAATATAAACATTTAAAAAACATTTAATGACACCTATTGGTAATTTTATTGACATGTAGTTTTAAGACTATCAGTAGACAGCGTTAGTGGATTATGTGAAAAATCAAGTGAAGTGTCAACTATACCTACTCTATACATATTTTGAATCTCTTTGTTAACCGTAAAACTTCACTAAATGCCATATTCATACATATAAACTTACTCTCTGATAAAACAGAGATATTTTGGCACATTATTTTCACATTTGAATCACCTAACCTTGTTACACCGTACTTTGATTTTAACTATTGGTTTTTACGTGTACAAAAAAAACGAATAAAAAACATAGATTTTTGCAAACTGCATTGTACTGCAAACATGTCCGATGTCTGTATCGATTCATTTTCATCGATGTTTTTAAGCAAGAGAGTTCACTATAAAGATAAAATCGATGTACAAATAAAAAAGCTCCCTACAAACGTTGCGACAGCTTTAACGAATTCGAACGATCCAGTTAAAACTGCATAGGATAAAAGTATACCATCAATTAAACTGTACAGTTATAGCCTACATAAGCAGTTTTATTCGTTTGTTCAGTTAAAATTGTTGTATGCTTTTGGCCCATCTGTATGTATGAATATCGACATTAGCGCAGTTCTACACATGTTAGAACCTTTCAACTTTGGTGACTAGAACGCCGATGTTTTCAATCTCGCTGCAGATGACGTCACCTGGCTTGAGGTACTCCGGGGGATCGCGATACATACCTACACCCCCGGGTGTGCCTGTCAGTATAATGTCCCCGGGAAGGAGTGTCATTACACTGCAATATTTAAAAAATATCTAGGATATTATAAATGCGAAAGTTTATATGGATGTTTGTAGCCTAAACTGCTGAAAAGATCGAGGTAATTTGTCATAGATGTAGAGGATAGTCTGAAAGAACACATACTTTTGTTTTTTCTTAACTCCACGCAGACGGAGTCGCGGGCGAAAACAATTTTATATAGGCCTAGAGTTAACAAATTCTATGTCATTTTTACTTAATCTTTGACCAATTATTAACAATAGCTTTTAGCCGCGGCTCCGTCCGCATGGAATTAAAAAAAAGAAAGATGTTCCAGACTCTCTTCAGCAATTTAGGCTACAAAATTTATAAAACATTCATCTGTCTATACTTTCGCTTTATTTTAGAAATAAGACAAATAAATTTTACAGGATCAACGATTTTATTTGTGTAATCCTTTTATTATTTTTAGGTAAATAAGTCGTAAGTGCATAACAACGTGTATCTTTATGCTAGAGAGAGACGGTAGATAACAAAAGCTATCCATCTCTCTAAATGAACTATACCCTTTTTCATAACATAAGATGGCAAACTCGCAAGCAGCCACCTGAATTCACCGAAATAGAAAGCGACCACTGCCCATAAACATCCGCAATTGCAGATGTGTTGCCTACCCTTCATTGACGTAGGAGACGCACATAAAGAGGACATTTTCCCTTCTTATACGTCTCCTTCACCGACAAATCCACTTTTCCTTCCCATCCATACCTATTAAGAAAAGGGTGGAAAGGGAAACGGACTAAAATTAGGCCTTCGGCACCCCACTCATCAAACGAAACGCGGAATTGCTTCCACTTCACGCCTGTCTGTGGTCGTGGTATTGCTGGAGCGAGCCCTGTGCGAAGATGTTACAGGGCTCTACCACTGTTAAAGTTTACTCTTAGCATTTACAGCATAAACTAACTTGTACTAACCTTGTAAGTCTTTCTATGATATCAGGTATTTTGTGTATCAGCTGGTCGGTGTTGCTGCACTGCTTCTGCTCTCCGTTGACGCTGCACTGAATGGTGAGGTTCTCAGGGTCCCCGATGGAGCCCTGCGTCGTGATGCAGGGCCCGATAGGACAGAATGTGTCCATAGACTGATGAAATAACTACTGTCAGATTCACCACTAAGTAGACGCTGGCGATCTCTCGTGTCGGAGGCTAAGACCCACTTTGGGTCGCTGTGCCAACGCAATAAGTAAGTAAGGGGGAATCTACCCTAAGATAGGTGATGGACTTAGGGCCTGTCCTACTTTCTGATAGAGGCTCAGATAGCTTAAAAATGTCACTGTCAGACAAGGCAACAATATCCGATATTTTCATCATACATTTTACACGTTGGATTGTTATCAGACAATTAACAATTTGGTGGGACTGGCCCTTAGTACACTGGACCAATACCGGTTAATTTCACACAACTTTGAATATCTTTGCAACTATACAGGTTGCCTCACGTTTTCCTTCACCGTAAGGTCAGGTAATTTATACTAATATTATAAAGAGGAACTATTTGTATTTTTATATGTTTCGGAATAACTCAAAAACTACTGGACCGGTTTGAAAAATTCTTTAAAAAGCTATTTTACCACTAAGTAACATATATTTTTTTAATTTCACGAGGACGAAGTTGCGAGCAATAGCTAGTTATGTAATTCATCGATAATCACATTTGTGACGTGGGATTCGAACCCAGAGCCTAATGCTTAAACCCTTGAGCCACCGAGGCTCCATTTTGTCATAGAGTAAAGATATAGATTATAAAATTAAGTTCTAAGTAAGCAATGAGACAAGTCAAGGGTTTACAAAGGACCAGAATATTTAGGAAAAAAAGTAATAAACCATGCAATTTAAGTCACCTACGGCTGAATACTCAAACGACATTTAAATGTTGAATAACGCCTTAAATGATCAAACTAAGTTTAGATTCCAAATACCATTAAAATGTTGACGTCAGATTGTAAGCACTTACGTAACGGAATGTTCGAGATTCGTTTCAGTATTCGGAAATAGCAAATATTATTTGAAAATCTTAAACTAATTTTACACATCTCCTGAATCAAAGATTTTCTAGAAAAAAAAACATTTTTTATACAAAAAAGTCTGCCAGAAGTTCTAAACTTTAGCTAGTTAGTTACCAACCCATGTTCGATAGATAAGAGAACGTATGGAATATTTCGGAGCTGTCACAAATAACAAAAACTGCATTAACAAGTGTTCCGATAAGAATTTCAAACACACCTCGTGCGGACTCTTGAGATATATTCAATACAGATAAGATTTGGCAATTTTAAGACAATGTCGAGATCAAGGTTATACGTGATTTTATTCGTTGATATGTTACAAATATATTTACAAAAATCTACTAATTGAGATATTTCTTACAAAATCAAAAAGTTCTAAAGTCTGTACGACACATAAACTTAGAAATTACTAACTGTTGCTCGCGACTCTGTTGGCGTGGAATTAAGAAAATTGAAACTTAACCTAGGTAGTAGCGTAGTTTTTAAGTTATTTCAATAAGTACAAAAATCCAAAAACACGTTTTTTTCTCTTTAAACATTAGTACAGAAGAACAAAAACTTGAAATATAATAATTTCTTTTTACATTAAATATGGAAAACATACCTTGCCCAATAAAAACTGTCCACCGTTCTTTGATTTCTGCCAATCCCTAGCGCTGATGTCCTGTGCGACCGTGTAACCCAGTACGTAGTCGTAAGCTACACATGCTTTCACATTCGTCGCTGTCCTCCCTATAACCACCGCTAGTTCTACTTCCCAATCCACCTGCTGTAAATAATATTTTACGTGCTTACTTCTATAGCTGTATTTCCTAACATTTTTTGCCCCATACCCCACTTTTATCTAAAAATTTCTGACCCCATACATCAAAACGTCCACAGTAACATCAACAAGGGCGGATCCAGCTTTGACGCCAGGGGGGGGGGG